AAGTTCGTATAAAAAATTATACCAAGATTATTACCCTAATCAAAAATATATTAGAAATCCAAAATTTACCAGTTAGAATAGACCAAAGCAACTAAGATACAGCAAAACAAAATTATACCAAAGATTTCACCAAGACCCTATCAACATCCTATTGTAAAATATTAAAAATCCCAAATTTACCTCTAAAAAATACCAAAAAATCAAAGATACACCAAAACAAAATTCATAGCAAAGATAGTATACCAAGACTATATCGTCGTACTAAAAAATATTATAAATCCCAAACTTGTCACTAAGAAGACACCAAAACAATTAAGATACACCAAATCAAAATCCACCACGGAAAAGTAGTACTACAATTACAAAAGAATTAATACCAAATGTTATACTAACACTATATCATCCTACTAAAAAATATTCCAAATCCCAAACTTATCAGTAAGAAGATACCAAAGCAACTAAAATACACCAAATCAAAATCCAGCACAGAACAATAGTGCTACAATTACAAAAAATTCATACCAAAGATAATCCCAAGACTGTACCATGTTGGAGAGTTCTAACCTCACCCTCCATGTTGCTAGACGATTCTAGCGACATCTAGCATTTCTTTGGCTATTCAAATAAAGACCTAACGGTGGAAATCACTTCCTTCCAAGCTACTGTGAAGAAAGTACGTTTAGTTATTCCGATTCTGAGACATTATCCCAGTAAAACATAACCTATCCACTGTATTAAACAACATACCATTCTACAACAAGTATCACATATCCCAAACTTACTCCTAAAGAGACATCGAAGCAACTAAGACACACCAAACCAAAATCCACTACAAAAGGCAAAACGAGAAAAAGTACGACAATTACAGAAACTTCGTAGCAAAGATAATACCAAAGTTATGTTATTAACTATAGTTACCATACCAAGACTATACTATCCTTGTAAAAAATATCACAACCATCGAAACTAGCACCAAAAAGACACGAAAAACCAACGAAGCTACACCGAACGAAACACCCCCCAAAAATGACAAAAATCGGTCTGTTCCAGAGAGGTATGCGTGGACGAGGGCCAGCAACTGTCCCTCGCGCACGGATGTCAGTTCTACGAGGTGAGCGCGGCGGAGAGTCCCGCAGGGGCGGCGCTAGCGTTCCAGGCGCTGCTCCGCGAGGCAAGGTCGGTGCAGCTCCTCCGAGCGCTGCCTATCCGCCGGAAACTGGGCGTCCACTCGGTCTCGAGGGTCCTCGGCACCATCTTCGGCAAGAACACCACGAAGGACCGGAAAAAGAGGCCCTCGCTGAGCATATGACGCCTCCTCTGCGCCCTCCTCCTCGGAGGTCGTGACGAACCCGACAGGAGAACCGACGTGGTCGTTCTCACCAGCAACGTCTACGCGAATCGCTGACGGGAGACACGTCGAACGATCGTCTGACCAACGTGGACCAGTCCCAGTGACATTCGTCTTTCTCTTTGACCGTAAACGAACGACGAGCAGGGCCCCGGGTCCTCCGTTACTTTGAACAGTTCCTGGCGTCTTGAAGGACCTTCAAGACGGTCCCAGAGGAACGTTCAGACGTCTGGTGGACGGGTAAAGCGAACACGGACCTACACATTCACCCGGAACCAGCTTCTCGAGGATAAAGTGCAGGAGGTGTCCGCCATTTCGTCGACTGTTAGGGGATAGAGGGCGCAGGTGGTAGGCAGAGTGTGCAGATGGCGCGCGTGTCTGCTTGGTCCAGCCGCGTTCCACTGCACGAACTTTCGGGAGTTCGATCGGGAAACGAGAGAGTCACACAGGCTCGCGTGAGATCCATCGACGTTTTTTCCTTTGACGAAGACGTTCCTCGAAGACCCGTGAGAATCGTGGATCGAGAGGGGGCCGTGTGAAAGACTGCCGCGACCGTGGAAACGACGAAACCGGGCCTCTGTTTCTTTTTTTCTCACTTCTCTCCGTCTTTTCTTTTTTCTTCGTTTCCTCTACGTCCTTCTCGTTCTTAGAGCGATTGAGTCGTGCCTTCCTCGAGGTGCACGAGCCTCGAGAGTTGGACTAGGTCCGACAGATTCGAGGGTATACCTTACGCGCTGCGATCGCTGTTCCTGAACGTTGTAGCTTTAAGCGTGACCGGAAGTCGAGGCGTAACACTCTCATCAGGCTGGTTACTGCAAGAGTTGTGCGATGATCAGGGTTTTGGGGATGGATGTTTGGTTACCTGCAACGGTTTGTACTTACTCGGGGTTGTTGCGTGTGCACGAAGAGAGCTGGATTCTTTGTTCGGGAGGCTGCAAGAGCGACGAAGACAAGCTTGAGAGGTATTTAAGCTAGTTCTACTCTGTTATCCACTTCCTTTTTCATATGAATAATAACACGTTTATTGTATAATATGTGACGTCAACTTGTTTTATATTAAGTTTATGGTAAATGTATATATTATATTCGAGAGAAAGCTGATGCGTTTAATATATGTAACACTCGCGGAGTGTATAAAGATTTAGGCAAATTTATATGATCGAGAATTTTGAAAAATGTGTTGGAAACGGACGAAATAACACCCTCGAGGTGAATAAAAATTATTACGACGATTAAAGATGCTGGGAGGTTATACGCGAATTGGGAATTTTGGGGAATGTGTTAGGTATGAAATAGGAAATGGAGGAATGAATTAGGAAATTGAAATGGGAAATCGTGCAGCTTCTCCAACAGGTGCTTGAAATCTCGCTTAATCTTTTGCTAATCTTGTTTGGTAACGATGAAAAATCGATAATTATCGATATTATGAAAGATAAAAATAGGTCTCGAAGTTTGAATTATTTCTCTAAAAACATTCGGATCCTTTGAAAAATGTCTTTAACCCCTTCACGAGTAAGAGTTTCGGCAGCCTTAATACGACTTACCGCTTAACTCACTAGCGCCACCACGCTCCGTATCTACAACAACCGTAGATATCCTATGCATCGTTGAACTTACTTTCTAATTTTATAATGTACATTATCGACACAAATTTCTCAGCCGTACTTGTGAAGGGGTTAGACTATACTCAAATCCCAATTTCTACGAATTTTCAAAATTAATATTCTTCATATCCAAACCTCCAAATAATTTTCTTAAAAGGTCTAGAATATTTAGAAAATATTCCAATTATAATTCTTATTTTTCATAATATTCAAATATTTTTCTAAATATTCTAATCGCAATTTTTCTCCCCATTCGGAATTTTCCAAATTGTCCCAAACTCCCTTACCCAAAACTACCCTAATCTACGTTAAGAAGAAAAATGGTAAACTGTGATCGAAAGGATGAAGCGAGGTCTCAAGATCTCGAGGCTCGACGCATACCTGATGAGAGTATTCGACGTGAGAGAACGCGACAAGCTTCGCCGATTCTGAGCTCGTTTCTCCGCAGCGGAACCGGAAACGAGCCGCGAATGCGGGGACTGGCGCCGCGTTCCAAACGAAACCCGATAGTCTTTCAAGTGATCTTTCAAATTTCGCAGTCTCCGTCGCGTGAAGCTTGCTCACCCGCGCTGACAGCGTTGCAAGTGTCTCGATTCGATCGCACACTGTCTTCCAAGTGGAAGAGGCTGGTACTGTGCGTTCGACAGAAGAAGGCACGGCGTGTTTACTCTTCACGGCTAATTGATTCCACTGCTATAGTGCGTTCGAGAATAGATGGCGCAGCATGTTTACATCCTCACGGCTGACTAACTCTGCTGACACACCCTTGATTACAGATAGTGACTGAAAACGATGACGAAGATCATTGACAGGTCCTAACGAGATCAAGTAAGATGTTATATGGTAAAATCAGCGTTAGTTTTCTGTTTTATAATAACTTAAAAGACTATACTGATTATGCTATGATGATCTTCGTCACTTTTTGGCCAATAGTGATCACTGTCTATGATCCAGATAGTGTCACGAAGTTAGTCAGATGCTATGATGATCTTCGTCACTTTTTGGCCAATAGTGATCACTGTCTATGATCCAGATAGTGTCAGCGAAGTTAGTCAGCTGTGAGGATGTAAATACGCTGCGCCATCTTTTGTCGAACACGCTATACTTTCTTAATCGCAGACAGTGATCGCTATTAGCAGAAAACCTTGACCTTCGCCACTATCTTGCCAATAGTGGCCATTGCGTGTGACAATGACGTCAGCGGAGCTAATCAGTCGCGAGGATGTCACACGCTGTGCCTTCTTTCCTCGAACGTGCTATACCTCGAGCGATCGAAGCGCGCGAATGCTTGGGCAGTCGCGGAACGAGAAGAGACAAACGCGAGAAGATTTTGCGATCGAATAAATCTCGCGATCTCGTTCGCAAGCATTTATCCACCGTTGATTTTGAGACTCGAATTGTGAGAGATTTGCAAGTGTTTGACTGTTCTTGATGACAGATGATGATTGGATATCTAGTCAAGTGACACTGAAGATTTTTTAGATTTCAAAGAATCTCTCTAAATTATTTTATGAAGAACAGGGAATTTGATGTTCCTTAATTTCGTTTTCAATTATTTCGATATCTTTTATGACAGAAGACGTGCTTTGAGCAGTTTGATTAGGTGATTTGATTGACAGATTTTGTAAGTGGTATTTTGCTTACTGAGACTCCCCAAGCCTACTTTACGATGAAAAGATAATTTATTTCTTTAATATCTCTTCTATAATTATTAGTAGGACGAAACTATTTGCATTTTATGTTCATAAAATTATAAAAATGACGAGCTCAGTGAGGTAAAATTTATACCAATTATATAAAATCCGTCGTCGACGCAGAAATTTCTTTATTCTCATCCATGACCACTCTCAAACATTTCAGATGAGAAATAAAAATAGAGAGAGAGGAGGGAAAGAATGTGAAATGTTTACGAAAGCACGTCAGTAGGAATGCAATATCCCTAAAATGAAACGAGACGCGGGTCTCCGTTCTCGAGATCGAACTTCCGGCTTCCGTGTAATCGATTCGACAACCTTAATGTTCCTACTGAAAGTAGCCTAAGTGTACATAGCGCACAAGCATTCGCCGAGTGTAGAATTCTTGAGGGAGAGGCTCGAGAATTCGATCGATGCATGGATTCGTAAGGTGAAACGGAAACTGTGGAACTGTCCAGGCAGATGAGCACCTGGAACCTAGCTTTGAGACCTAGTTTCTCGTTGAACTCGGAGTAGACGTCTTTTGAGGGCCCAAATTTGTCTGTGATTCGAATGGTTGCCTTTGTCACTGCATCGGACACTGGAACATACATCCAATTGTAGTTAATTAGTATAATCAGTGAAAAGCTAGGGAGGTTGTGAGTGATACCTTCAACCAGGTCTGAGAACTGTGTAGACTCCTCTGTGGGTCATTGTTATAAGAGAAACAGGATTTATAGGAAGACATCAAGTGATCTAATTGATCCTAGTGATTATCATGATGTATTGTTGCATGAAATTTTGAGGAAGTTGTGAATGAAACTCACAGTTGGGTCTAGGAACCATGGTGACTTCATTGTAGGTAATAGATATGAAAGAAACAGGGTACAGGAAGACATCAACTGATCTGATTGATCCTAATGATTATCATGGTGTATTGCTGCATGAAATTCTGAGAAAATTGTAAATGAAAGTCACAATTGGGTCTATGAACCATGAAGACTTCATTGTAGGTAATAGAAACAGGGTACAGGAAGAGACTAATTGATCTGATTTACTGGTGTACCAGAGTGAATTGAGAAGTTTGTAGTCTAACTTACAAGAAAGGAAGAGTCACTTTCAGATCTCTATACTGGACTTCTAATTGCAGTGTAACTTGATGAGAAAATTGTGATATCAGTTGAGCAATATGAGATTTGAGTCATTCTAATTGCTGATTTCTATGTGAGCTGGAGTATTGCATTTCCTAACAAAAGTATTATCACAAGAGTGGTGTACCACGTTTAAAGACATCAAACTGCTGACTCTTATATGGTTTGAAACACCATAGTCTTTCTTTAGCATTACTCTAAAAGATTCCAGGACAGTCATTAATTGAAATTTGAATTTTGTAAACAGGCTACTGTCATTCTAATTGCTGATTTCTATGTGAGCTGGAGTATTGCATTTCCTAACAAAAGTATTATCATAAGAGTGGTGTACTAGTTCAAAGACATCAAACTGCTGACTCTTATATGGTTTGAAACACCATAGTTTTTCTTTAGTATTACTCTAAAAGATTCCAGGACAGTCATTAATTGAAATTTGAATTTTGTAGATAGGCTATTAATTGTTCAACTAACTTTACAAAATAATAGTTGTGTTTACTAAAGTCAGAATTGAGCATAGTTGATATATACTACCTCTGTACTTATTGGTGTCTAGCAGTAGTAATTGGCCTGAGTCTTCCTGCTTCTTCATGCACTAATAGACCAAATAACACCAAATAAGAAGACATTCATGGATTAATGTAACAAGGATTTACATTGTTTCCATATTTTAATGAAATCTACACCAGTTCTCAGTTTTCTTCTATCACCCTGGCCATAGGAATTTTAGTACTACTTTTGAACATCAAGTCACAAGCTTTTCAATCCACACTGGTAACAACTTCCTTCTTCTTCCACTTTGGAAACTAGGAAACAGAATTATCATAAAAATTCTTTTTCCAAACTCCATGATTTTTAATTCATGGTCTGCATTTAAAACCATATCACACCTATCATCATATCATAAAACTATCATAAGTGTCTATTAAAATCCTAGATATATATGTAGGTCATGAATAGGTCATGGATCACAGGACCTAGCAAACACTTTAACCCTAGACTACTGACCCACAGTCTGTCATACTTTATGTTTCTAAATACTCCTTAGGGTCCTATGAAATATCATCCAATATTTTCTAACATAGAGTCATGTACTTTACAATCCACTCTCATAAATGATCATATATGTACATAATTTTTATATA